TCCCTTACATATTTGTGGAGAACCCAGATATAGGACAGCAAACGTTCTTCTCATCTCAGCTCACTTGATCGACAGCAGCTGACGACTTCGGTCTAATTTCACAGCCGGGCGAATGTACGCTGCTAGGATAAGGCATACACACACACACACACACACACAGCAGATTGAGAGAGGAACACGTACACGTACGCAGATAAAAACAACACGTGCGCCTGTGTGCACCAGCAGCACACAATGGCGCAAACAAAGAAAGCGGTTGTGTACACGAATCCCCGGGATGGATTGAGCAGGACTCTGTTGACAAAGGGACAGGTTGCTATCATTTGCCCCTGGCAGGTCTGAGATCAAGCTATTCATAGGCGTTTCTAGCCCATTTAAGAGGGAGGTTTGTAAAAACTGAACCTCGGGAATTAATTTACTCAGATCATCCGTGGTAGTGTAGGACTAAAAACGTGATCCGCAGTGATCCGCGTAGAAGGGAGATTTATGTCTTCTGTACACAATCTTGTTGGTTCGGAACTCTGAAGGCTTTGGAAATAATGCTTTTCGTGTCCTGCTGGCAAGTGATGGATCTTCCAAGCTTCCATAAGAATACTGGAGTCAGACAAGAATATCATCTCTGCTCAACTTTAGCACTGCGCAGAGGGGGTCAAGATCCATGTGGTCACATCCCAGCTTGGAAGATTCCGGTTAACCTAGAGTGGACACAGATGTTATTTCATCTTCTTGTCTGACGGCGCAAGGTTATACTTCGGGATACATCGCACGCGTTGTACAGAAAAGAGCCAGAGAATACATTTATCTTGATGAGTTACTTAGCTTAGACACCATTGTCCGATGAGTGTTATGCGATAATTCTTGGTTGATTGATCGGATCTCCGAATTGACCTAACTGTCCAGGGTAGACACTACTGAGTCTAAGGAGTTATGAGCCCCAGTTTGCTGTTAGCCGTGTGTGGCTCTGAAGATTTGTAAGCTAGAGACAGAACTGTGAGTTACACACGGTGAAAAGAAGAAGGCCTTCGCTACGGAGTTATTTATTAGAGAATGCCAACTGGACAATCACAGACTATTGGACAAGGGAACAAAACTCTCATCTTGTTCACAAAACTGAATATCCATCTTCTCCTTGAACGCGTCTTCCTGAACTTTCTGGATATTCATTGACTGTTACGCAGTTACAAGCAAGCGCTACAGAGCTACTCCGCAAAGTCCGTAGCAGACCTGACTTTTCAAGAGACGCAAAGCGGGTTTACGAGAAAACACACTACTCGCATGCCCTCCCATCAGTAGTATCACAGCTGCGACGGAGTGTTTTACAGTGGACAGGGGTGTAAGAACTCTCTGCATCACATGCTACATACCTAAGAGTTTAGCTACGGCGACGCATTTATCGTAAAACGGACCGACGCCACTCAAAAATAGTGGTAGAGCGCTCTGTATAAACTTTCTTAAGAGCCGGCTGAACACAGATACACATACTACTATCTAACAAATGGATTCTGTTTCACAGACTTCTCGACTGCTCTAATTGATATGGGACTCAAATGGTTCGGTTCTGACCCTGTCGCGCACTTCGAATCCGAGGTCAACAGCATTTTTAGCGGATCCGTACTGATCAATCTTTTACAGTCGAACTTCTTTGCGCAGTAATTATCGATCAAGCACTTGTATCTACCTTGAAGTTGATCTCATACACTCAGCATTGTAAAACACTATGCAGAGGTTTATCATCGCTATAGGCATGTCCTACAGGCGTTGCGCTTTTTACAACCGAGACTGATTAAAGCAAGTGAAATCTTGACAAGAGTTTCAAACAATAGCCTGATGGATCTCAGGGCTCTTATAGGTCAATCGATTTTCCACAAACGCGTACAGAGTGATTAGCTTGGAGTCTGAAGTTGATCAGGGTCAATAAAACAGATTTTCAGGACAGAACTGTGTTTACGTGAGAAAAATAACCTGAGCTCATTAGATGCAACGTCGTGGTTTCTCCAATCAATAACCGGATTTGTATAAACATGGCAGTCAAACATGTTGCGATCGATCAGAGTCCAGAAACCATGACGACAAGACAACGGGGTGCTTCGGAGAGGTTACCAGATTAGGGGTGAGAAAAGCAAAAAACACGTTTTCAAAAGTACTCCACAGGTTTACTGTTCATGCTGGCAACACAGAGACATTTTCACGAATGCTTTTTATCCAAGCTTTGGTTTGAATCAATGGCCAGAATCGATCGAACTAGACGTCCCGGAAAACTTTGGTTTCTGCTGTTTTAGCAAGTTTCGACAGTAGTGATGATTACCGGGGCGATCTCGAAAAACCCCGCACAAGTTCATTAGCAACGCAATTCTGTTGGTTAGTTTACCATCGCATAGCGTTTATTCTACTAATCAGAGGGTTTTTAGTCAATACAATCACAGCAGCAGTGTGATTAGAATTTCTACCTGTTGAGCCTGTTCCCATTGAACAGTTCTAAGCGTTGCTAGCCCCTGGGTCCAAAAGGGCATTTTCAAACAAGTGACCTAGGTTATCTTAATTTTATCACTTTAGCTTTTCAAGTAGGTTTTCATTAATAATCGATTTAATGGTCAGTGGAAAGAAGTAGGATCTCAGATCCTGCGAACATCCATTACTGGACTTTCCAAACGGACAGAGGGGCGGGAAACTAGAAACAGTGACAGAGGAAGCTTGGGAGTTATAGCTCTGAGACCCCAAAGATGGGCACACAAATAGCTACAGTGAACTGGCTTTCGAATCGCTGGGTCGAAAATGTAAACGTTTCCAAGACTGAAGTTTCTATCTATAGTCATCAGTGATCTCACGACGTTGAATTCTACGGGGCCCGACCGGATTGGCTGTGAAAACTTACTCAGTAGCAGAATAGTAATACTGAGAAACGATGTACGGTATCCCTCCAAGAGCAAACAAGTCGATTAGGAAAATAGATTTAGAGTTGAGGATTTTCCCGTTGTAATCACTTCTGATATGGAAAACCGCTAAAATGTTATGGCGGAAATTGCCCACTCACCGGGGGTCGAGATCGCCCAATTGGTTAGAGCGCGAATTTACTGACCGGAAGGTCCGTGGTTTGAACCCAACCTCTACCTCTCGACTTTCCCTGTCTAGTCTTGGGCAACCGGACAGTATCCCAGCCCTCGTGCTTCCTTCGGGTAGCATGGCAGTTAGGCTCTGAAAGGGTTTTTTCTACTCAACCAACCCGATGGTTGACTGCTCCAGCTGAAGAAACACCAGAATGAAAATGTTTTCACCGTTGATTCACGTTCATCACTTGACTTGGACCGAATGCCTGACATCCTGAGGATCGACGCCATAATATTACCCGGTCTTCCTACCCTGACATGACTTGACTTTGTGAAGAGAATGCGTTGCGCAATGCATGGTCATTCTAAACAATAGCGTTGAGACGTTTTCGGTGCTGTAGCTTTCTATTCATCCCAAGAATTTGAGTTGAATGTTTAGGTTGAGACAGCAGAATGCCACATTCCCTCTAGCATTCGGATCCACTTTCTTTGTGAGGGAATGGTCGGAACTTGAGAGTTCGGGAGTGAGTTATCCAAGCAGGCACAGGTCTTAGGTTAGCGAATATACACTCATTTGCAAACTAATTTGGTTTTGCGAGAGACTCACCTGGAACCCAGCTGAATCTCTCATTTGTGAGGTTTCCATTTTATTGTGAACAGTGTGAAGGTGCAGAATGCCAGTAAAACATCCTACTTCGCGGACCATACAGTTGAAATACCAAAGTACTCGTTGCAGCTACAGCGTCAAAAGTACATGTCTCACTATAAGTGCCGACAGCTAACGAGCTGGGCTCTAAATGTTATCTCAACGACGCACATCAGATGAGTGTGACAAAACTATCCGGTAAATAAATTATTCAGTTCAGTTCAAAAATGGCACATGGTTCAGCTCTTCGAAGTAGGAAAGGGTTTCTTTTTCCCCACTATAATGATCCGATAAGTTTGGTGGCGGGGACAAATTCAAGACAGATCTTTGTCCAGAAACCCATCCTTCGTGAAAGGCTAGTCAGAGCTAACAAACCAGATAATATTTAAACGTTACCGCAAATTTCACTCTGATGGATGGCCTCACACTTCCAGATCACGACTTTAGGATCCTCAGTACAGCTACTCTACGTTTTTTTGCTATGAACAATATGCACTTCGGCATGCCGTTTGCTGAAACAAATGCAATACCACCGAGGAGGGATCCCAGAGCGCGTCTGATGAGTCAAGCCCTATCCAAACCTCCTGGTTTGGGGTAAAGGACAGGTAAGGTTTTCCCGAAATCGACTTTTCAACTTTGTAACAGGTAAAACCATACACCTTGTTACCAAGCCTTTCTCAAGTTTGTGACAAAAATGTTCAACTGTCTTGACCCCGGTCTTGATAAACGGAAAGGAAACTCACGTGACATCTCGTTAACCAGTTTGACACTTGTATCATGGCGCAAAATTTGGGACAGTCACTGGCTTGCTGTCGTCTATTTCTGTGCTTTCCTCAGTCCTAAAATTTATTACTTCGACCAAATGACCTGGTGGTTATGGATTTCTACCCTACCGGGGACCAAAACATAGATATCCCCCCGGGAAAACGTCTTTTCTTGAGAAAACTGCTGTTTTATACACGCCGGAGAGAATGTCTGTATAAAGATATTCCCACACTGGAAGGGGGCGAGATGGCCCAAATGGTTAGAGCGCGAATTTACTGACCGGAAGGCCCGTGGTTCGAATCCGACCTCCGCCACTCGACTTCCCCTGTCTAGGCTTGGGCAACCTGGCAGTATCCCAACCCTCGTGCTTCCTTCGGGTGGCATGGCAGCTAGGCACCGAAAGAGTGCTACAGCTGAAGGCTTTCTTTCTTTCACATTGGAAGGAAATGTGGCATGTGAACAGCAAGACTTACATATTACCGGTTAATTTATTAATTTAAGTTCGTCTCTTGTTAGGAATGCACGGATTTTAAGTTCAATGACCCACCTACGGTTGTCGAAACAAACGCTTGGTTGTTGAACGAGAATAAATTTGTGGTAGTAGATTTGGATGAGATGTTGGCCTAAGTGCGAGCAATAAAAACTCAATCAGTGGACCTGGCGAAATACACTAATTTGCACACCACTATGGTTCGCTCGTTTGTGATGTTCTTTTGTAGTTGGATGTGCTACACCATGCTTTCTCGTGTGTACCAGTTGGCGCGAGATGCAAGTATCGTAACACATTGTATAGACGTACACAAGGTTAACGGAAACTCTGGGACCCAAGAAAGGTGTAACCAGCCGTTGACTGTTGAAGAGTTTTCAGTGACCTTACGAGTAGTGTGTTGCGTCTGTATAATCACTGGACTTTGTTGGTGATAAGTTAGCATCTGTTATGTGTCTGCGAAATTATTAGGACTCTGATAAGGACCAAATGGCATTGTGTGTTCACGCATTATTTATGTAGGATATAAGACAGTCGCAATATCATATCAGTTCCTGAGAGGATTTCATCATCCTTTTGAACGAACCCCTCAGTGTCAGTGAATACTTAGGTGTAGGGACCGTAAATGTTTTTATATTTTACTGCAGACGAAATTCTGTAATCCAGAGGGCCTACAAATCTCATCCATGTAGTCATAGTCTTAGAAATCATTTTCCCACCACTTTGGGAAATTTATTTGCCAACACAACAACCGACTTGATATTGTTGTGTAGCTGTACGGACTGTTAACGCGAGTGCCTTGCTAGGACCTAGGTGTCTGGAAGGTCGAAAGCACTCTGTTTTGTGAGCGTGTTTTCGAGGCGCGTTTTCACACAGCCATTCGTTTAGGAAGTTTAGTTGTTCGTATTGCACTACTCATATGGTTGCTGAGAACTCTTCGACAGCCCATGACCGGTTTCGCCCTTCTTGGGGCTCATCACGTAGCGCAGTCCCCGAGTTTCCGTTAACCGTATGTTCTACTTGAAACCAAACTGCACGAAATTAGCGAAATACACTCATTTGCAAACTAATTTGGTTCTGCGAGAGATGCATCTGGAAACATGACAGATGAGAGATTCAGCTGGGTTCCAGGTGAGTCTCTCGAAGGACCAAATTTGTTTGCAAATGAGTGTGGTTCGCTAAGTTTAGTTGTTCGTCTGTGCAGGCTTCTTGGTGGGCGAAATTCTCCGAGTGTTGGGCTTGTTTAGGTGCTAGCGTCACATTCGTGTGTCAAAGTGATTTACTGATGTCAACTCGAATGGTAGTGAAAAGTTCGGGACGAAGTTGTCCGGCTCAACGAACAAATCAACAACCTTTCACTTGAGGAGCACGACTCTCCCCCGCAATAAACAGTCGGGGAATTATTCAGATCGCCTCCACATGAATGTTTATTCATCACTACGTTTTATGGAGCCGTGTCAATGAGAATAACCTGGTTACAAAACCGCAGCCAGTAGCACAGCAGGGAGCAAACAGAATGCACTTGTATCCCACAGATTTCAGCATGATTTGCTGTCTGATCCTGGCTTTATTCATTCTTATCCCACAGTACCAGCAAAGGCGCGTAGTGCAAAACCGAGTTGGATTGCAGCCCAAGGCATGAACAGGGATTTGCCATCTCCTAGTACTAGATTCGACCGAGTACGACATGCAACTACAATTGTTCGTGTACCGATGGTTGATTTGGCCTTTTGAAACACAAACTGAGAACTTAGGCCAAGGAACACAAGGTCTCGCACTGTTCTCACAAGTTTAACTATGGGTGTTGAGGTCACTTGAGGCTCATGCAAACAGTGTATAAAGGCGGTTTCTCCCTGCGTGCCTCAAGTAGGTGCTAGAGGCAACACCAGTTGATCTTTTAAGAGGTTCTTCATCAACTTCGGTCTAAGAAACCGACGTGACAATTTGTATATGGGAAGACGAGGCTAAGAAGCCCACATGAGAAAAGAATAAAACGAAATTCAGAACGGACGATAAGCAAAGCAAAAAAACTGGGATACATCCCGTTTTCCAGCACCCTGCCCACAGTTTTGAAAGTTGAAGACAGCAACGAAAAATAAAAGAAAGTGATTACTGGATTTGGGAGTAAGTACAGAACGTTGCAGGGATAATACGGAAAAGAGTCGCCCGCATTAGCGGTTGCTTGATCCTTTTTTGGGGGACTGCGTCTACCTGATGAGCCCCAAGAGGGGCGAAACCGGTCATGGGCTGTCGAAGAGTTTTCAGCAAACTTGACTTTTTCAACTTTCCGTATCAAATTGCACGACAGTTCTATGAGCCAGTTTATTGATGTCTCAACATGTAGAAAAAGATCCAATGTCCAAGACAGAGGCCACAAGTCACCTCTCGAAACTGTTAAAACGGCAAGGAATATGAATAGATATTTGGACCTCGAATGCATAGGACCAGACGGGAAACCTCCTTCAAAAGATCGGAATTCATTGTTTGGATGGCATAGGTTACATGTTTGACAAAATCTGTTAAGTCCTTACAGCGTCGACAAAAAGCGAATGCTGTTCCTTCATCCTTGTATTTTTCCAAGTATTAAATGCGGGTGAAATCTGACTTTGTTTTTCGTCACATTGTGGTCACAATCTTTGGCTGGTATTCGTACAGAGTAGCGTTTTGCGAATGAGAAA